CAATAATTTAGAATAAAAGTCACTATAGCAGATCATATATAGGTATTATTAGGATAACTGAGTAAATCATAACTTAAAAAATTAAATATTAGAAAATTCTACTAAATAATATTGTTTTATTATAAAACAAATCTAAATAAAGTTACAGTATGATTGCTGAATATTTAAAAAAAAAAAAAAGTAAAGAGATAAAAAGATAAGTATAGAGTAGATTATAGCAAATAATAGTAATAGAGATTATAATATTAGTTTTAGTAGTAAAATTTTAGACTAGCTATCTTCAACTTGTACTGAACTAGATATAATTTGAGTAGTTCTATTAGTAGTATTATATAATATATATAAAGATTTTTCAAATAGTAAAATAATAATTAAAAAATTCAAAACTTCTAAAATCTAACAAGTATTAAAAGCAACTTCAAGACTAAAAATTATAGTATAATCAATTAAATCTTAAACTATTACAAGATAAAGAAAATTAAGTTAAAACTGATCAAAATTAAAGATTATAGCTCAAATATATAGAATAATAGAGTAGACTAACTAGCAAAAAGATTTTATATTTAATTTTATACTCAAAGCTCAAGAAGTAACAACAAGTAAAATAAGAGTATTCTTAATATAGAAAGAAAAGATAATAGATATTATACTAAGATATTTTATTAATTTAACTATACAACAATAAGAATACTTAAGCAAATCTAAATAGTATTAAATTAGTTCTAAATCAAAAACTAATAAACTAAAGTAATTCTAATTTGAACTAAAAAATATATAGAGTATATTAAAAAGTTAGTAAGAAAAAAGATATACAAAAGTAAAATATTAATATTTAAAATAAAATATCTAAACAAACTTTTATTAACAAGATATATGTTATTAAAAAAATTTAGTACTTTATAAAAGCAAAACTTATATCATGTATTATACAAAAGAAGAGTTTTTAGAATATATAGCAGAATGTTAAATATATCAAAAGATTTAGAAAAAAATAGAAATGATTATTATAGAAGACATAAGTTAACTAGTACAAGATTTTTAGAAAAAACTAAAGAGTTCTTGAAGTCAGTTTCAACGAAGCTATTTGCTAGTTTACAGAAATCTTTTAGTCTAATTTTTTTGAAAAACTTTAAAAATTCTACTATAAAGTTATATCTGAATATAAGAAAAAGAATAATATCAATATTAGAAAGAAGAGAAAGAAATCAAAATACAAATCTAAAGCTAAGACAAAAAAAAAGTAAGAAAACAAAGAAAATTTAGATTTAGCAAAAAAAAAGATTAAAGAATTGAAATAAGTTAAAAAAAATAAGAATACAGAAAGAAGCCAAAAATAAAATTAAAAAGTAAATTGTAAGAAGAACAAAAGATAGTTAGTTAAATTTTAATATAAATTTATAGTAGTCTTCTATAGATCTTTAGAATATAATACTGCTTAGATATTCTATTCTTTTAAGAAGAAAATATGCTATTTCAATAAATTATATCTGAATACTTTAAGTAGCAAATAAGTCTGGAATTAAAAAAGACAGTAGTATAGTTATATTAGTTTAGTTTATATTTTTATTATAATATTTTATATATTTCTCTTAAGAAATAAAAAGTAAGATTATCTAAGTTAAAAAAAAAAAATAAATAAAAATAATAAAAATAATAGAAATAGTAGAAATAATAGAAATAGAATATCTAGTAAAAATAGTAGAAATAGTATAAAGAAGAAATAAAAAAGAAATATAAACTATAATATCTTTAATAAATAATTTTTATTTTATGATATAATTTAACATTAATCTGTGATATAGATTTTGCAAAAAAGAAAGACTATATTATCATCTATCTGCCTAGTCATCCTTTAGGCTAAGAGGATTTTAACCATTGGAGAGCTGAAATAGTAGAAAGAGTAGAAAGAGTAGAAATCATCGATTTTGGACGCAGTAATGATCATCCAATAAAAATTAAATCATATTTATAATTTCATAAAACTTTAACGATCTCGGGATCCTGTGATCCAAATCACGTAATCTTGTGCTCATTAGAACCGTCTCGATGAGCTGATTTCAATGGTGTGTGTTTCATTAAAATTGGACCGGTGGTTCAAAAGTTATAAGTAAAAATGTGAAATTTAATATTATAACTCCATTAGAATCAGCCGGATCGAATAGTATTACAATCATCCAAATTGGTCTAGTAGATATAAAGTTATAAGCGTTTTTCTATCTGAAGAACTTTTACAAGTTTAATACTTTAATAAAGTATAAATTATGATAATAAAAGATAATAAAAAGTTTAATTATTTTAATATAAAAATTTACAAATAAATTTTGTATTTTCAAAAAGAAATTCTAAATTTCACTATAATTCGCAATATTTTATTATTATAAAAGATGATCGAAAAATCAAAAATTTCATAAAAAATTTCGTTTTTTTTTATAATAAATAAAAGAAATGAATTACTAAATTCTTTTTCAGCCCAACGTTTCACAACGTAGGTAATAATTAATATAAGGGGTAAAAGAATCTATTTTATATAAAAATCTCAAAAAGGTGAATGGCTTTTGTTTATATTTTTATTTACTGTTTGTTTTTATCGTCGATCAAAATCACATTGTGAAATTATTTTTTTCATTCAAAAATTTTTACTTTAATATATGTTGTGAGACCAATATCCAAAATTTCGGTGTTTGAAAATAATGGCGCAGTAGAAAAAGATCTACCAATATAGATATATGCTATACCAAGAAAGTAAAATAAGGAAAGCAAAATAAGGAAAGTATAATAAATTATGAACCATTTAAAATTTATTACGATGATATCATAGCAATGTAAAAAAAAAAAAGCATACATTCGTAAGATTTTTTTTTTACACGGCATTTTATACCTATACGCGCATATATACGTAACAAGCAAATTAGTGACACAATAAGCAATTAAAACGTTAAATGAATTATCTTAATTTGTTAATAACGATAAGTTCCCTAATAAAGATAGATGAAATCGAGAAATTTATATAAAATATAATTTTACCTTTTTATTATTTGTTGACAATTGCTTGGGATTAAGTAGTAAAACTCTAATTCGTAAAAAAAAGTTGATTCCAAGATAAAATTAGTTTCACATTCACATTATTCTTAAAAAAAAATAATTGAAACGTAAACATGAAAACTCTTGTACTCGTTTCAAAAACCTATAACCATAATTTACATAAGTACAAAACGTTATTAATTATTAGATATTAAGTATGTAACATAATAACATTACGATATGGAAAAAAAAATATTCACATGGATTGACAGATTTAGAAATCAAAATAATATCTTTTTTTTAAAAAAAAAAAACAAATAGTAAATGCTGCGTCTCGAAAATCCAAAGATATTACCGATATCGATATCCGATATACGTTAACATCGCGTGGTCACACTTTAATTTTAACATCGTATTTATTTATATCAATCAATAAAGAATTATTATATAAATATTTTTATTAATAATTCACTTTATCGTTATTGAGTAACAAGTCAGTATTTTTGACGATTATTGGTGCGATTAAGAAAATGTGACAATATATATATATATTTTTTTAAGTTAAAAAAGAAAAAACAAACATGTGAACTTATTAAAATTTTAATAAAAATTATATACGTACAAAGAATACTAAATAAAACTAAAAAAAGTAAGTTAAATAATTGGAAAAAAAAAAAAAATGTTTTTATAAATTTTATTACAATTACAACAATATTAAAGCAAGAAGAAGGGTTTAAGGATAGAATTAAATAGAATTAACGTTTAAATATTAGTAATAATATGCCGGATTGCGTTATTTGAGGACGACTTACGTATAACCAAGATAAAGGATATTACACAGAATTACTTTAATACATTATTATTTAACAGATAAACTTAGGAGATAACGATAAGGTACAGGGTTTAACACTGGTAAAAATCAAGTCCATATGGCCCTGAAGGGCGCCACCACCAACTAATACCGACATCATACATGCTTGATCTACTTATTACCAATTAAAATAAGGGAATAGATTTTATGACTAAAAAGTTTAAGATGTACTTACGCAGCACATGATTTTCGAATCTCTAAAATCAGAAACGAATAAAAATTTGATACGAATTTAAAAAATTTCGATATAACAAGCCAAATTTGGTTAAATAGAAGATTATTACGATAGTCTAATTTGTTTGATGGAGATCATATCTTTGATTCGGAGTTTTTGAATGTGGGTTTTAAATATTATATGTAAGAGAGTTGTATATCAGTATGTACTAAATAGAAACATATTATTATTCTCTTTTATTTCTTTATTTAAAAATCATTATTTCACATATATAGATAAATCATCTTCGATTTTAATTACTACTTTAAGTATAACTTATAAGAAGAAATTATTATTCGTTAAACATAACGCTTTCATTGTTAAGGAATTTTGTTTGACAAAATGGATTCTTGTGTCACTTTGTCTCGGTAAGTAATTTGCGTATTTGCATTACAGAATTATCGGTTATCGATAACGAATTATTATTATGTATGTGTTAATATTATGAAGTAATCTAAAAAATTTTTTTAAATATGTACAGTTTTTAAAGTAGTTTTTAAAGTAAATGGTAGATGATCTCACAATTAACTGTTAATGTCTATATATATTTTATACGTACCGATAAATTTGATGGCGTTGCCAAAATTATAAAAGGACTATCGGTAAGACCAAGTTTGTCGTTCAAAAATTTTTTTTTTTGCATCTCTCGTCCTTTTTCTATATCTTACTAGAAAGCGTATATTTAGTCCTGAAAAGGAGGTTGCATAAGACTTCTTTTTTTTTTTGATACACATATAATATATACATACGTATATATATAGTCGAGAAGTTCTACCTCGCTTTTTCCAAAAAAACAAAAAAAAAAAAATTGTCCTTTCGAAAAAATCAAATAATCTCCATCTTGCGCTTCTCATAAATTTAAATTTTATTCATTTATAAAATCAACAATTGAAGATGACACGTCCACAGACATCAGTTACAAACACTAAAGATCTTAGTCTTATGCCAATTATAACAAACATGGCTAATAGCATCCTTGAAAATATAGTGCTTTTCTTTTTAGCCTTGTTCGTATCGTTATGTGGTGGCGGTTCAAGGTTTGTTTTTTTTTTTAAAAAAAAAAAAATTCTATCTCGCTTGTTTACGTTAGAGAGAATACTAACTTTTTTATGTTATTCTTTTCTTAACAGCAATAGTAATGTTGCATCAGCAGCCCACCTCATCTTCATACCACAACAACGCAAATCTCTTTATCGTATGCTTAAGAAAACTTCAGATCAAGACCAATCACAGATCAATGTAAAAAATTGTAAAAAAACACACAAATCTAAGAAATCACATTCTCATTCTACTCATTCGTGCTCTAATAATGCGTGTAGTCATCATCGTTCAACATCTGCTCATTCTACAACCAATTATTAGATGACTATTTATAAATATACCCATTTTCTAATCGTATAATATGAAAGTTTGGCCTTATTATAAACTTTTTTTCAAGCCATACTGTTTAAACAATTTTGTAAATATAATATTTTCTTTGATTAGTGATTTTTTTTTTTGGGTACGACGCGTTTGTTTCCACGTTTAGAATTATAATTTATTGTTTGTTTGTTTTTTTTTACTCTTTTTGTTTTGTTGCTGGTTTTTGGTTTTTTATGGTTTTTTTTTTTCGTTCAAGGATCTCGCGAGCAATTTTTTTTTTTTTTTTTTACTGTAGAAATATGATTAGTATTTTTCCTACTTTGTATAAAGTTCATAATAATTTCCGCTCGCTAATTTTTATTAAGCAAATAATACCAAAAAAAAAAAAATTTTTTTTTAAAGCAACTAATATAAATTCTAATAATAATTTTTTAAAAAATATACTGGTACATATTCCTTCTCAGTAGATTTTTTTTTTTTTTTTTCATGCTTTCGTGAATTGTAATAATGTCCTTTGTTTTATAAACTTCAAACTTTGGGGGGATTTTTGCTTCTTGGAAAAAAATGCAGTGTATCAAACATTAAACCGAGTTGAGTTAACCGAATCGGGACAACCAAGTTAGTAGATAGGTAAACTGTCGTAGTACGTTATATTATGCATTGTTAAGAAGGGCGCCGTTTGCTTGCCTTCGTTTACTTCAAGTTCGTGAATATCGTTTTAAGATATATTATTTTTTTTTGGTAAATTAAATTACTGAATCAAGGTTAGGTTATGCCAAAGAATAATTTTAAATCTCTTCGAATAATATTGGTCTAATCCGATTTCGGAAAATCGTTACCGTTTACAACGCATTACTGTAGATGCAGTCACCCGAACGATAACTTAAAAGTAATGGATAATATAAAACTAGTATTCATTGGCATTAATCTGCATACTTGATTGCGCCATCACATAAATGAAAGATACTCACTAAAGTTTTATCCTATTGGAA